GAACATGACTTGTTAGTATGTTGAGTAAAAGTGGATTAAGCCGAAATGGCTAGGTGGGTTGACTATGTTCAACAATTTTGAATAATTTGGAAGTTTAATGGAATTAAAGGTCAACTTGTGATGTGATCACCATTGTCCTAAATAAGATTAAAAGTGAATTGATGTATGATTGTTATGTATGGTCTTCTTGAATGAGTCGGCTATTAATTAAAATTGTAATCACGTAAAGTGAAACATGGATGAGCAATAAAACTCTGGAAAGCGTGCACTTCTAGAGTATTGACAATTATGGGTTGGGGTACACGGTGGTAGCCCGTGGCTTTTCGAGGCTTGTTTGATCAACATGTCCTCTTTTCTTTTGGTATTTACATTTTTATTTTATAATGAAAGTTAGATGGGATCCTAGACTAACTTTGTGAGAATGGAGTCGCGCCAATTCTTGCATCGCGCTAAACTTTTATTTTAAATGGTCATTTGGGACCAAAATGATTTGGTGGATTGGACAACCTCGTCTATTGCTTACTCCAACTAAATTAATTAAATTAAATATAAAGAGTCAAGTGTTTGGAATTGATTAGCAAGTATGTTGAGTCGATTGAATTGTTTAAGTGTGGAGTCTTGATTAATGAATTTGTGTTGTATGTTTATTTACTTTAATTAGTTTAGCATGCTAGGCTTGGTACGTTGTAGCTTGTATGTACTCAGCTTTGCTGATTGCGTGCTTTTGTGTGTTTTCTTTTGGTCATGGCCTTCGCCTTTCAATGACCCTGTGATGATCCAATTATTACACTTGTATTATTGGGGAGCACTATTGCACAGGTTAGCTTGATGATGTGAAGTTCGGAGATTTGACATACGCATTGTCAAGGGATTGGTGTGATTGAGAGTATTCGTTATCTGTGTTGAACTTATTTATGTTTTACTATTTTAATTATGTTTTGGGATTTTGGAATATTGGTTTGGTTTTAATAAGGGCCTTTATGGTTCCAATTTGTAAGCTTTGACTTATTGGTTTTCTAAATTATATTATTTTAATATTTAAGTTGGATTTCCGCTGCAATACTTTGATAAAGCCTTAACGTTTTAACACGTGGCGGTAACATGCCAATGGTTCTCCTCTATTTTTATTTAAAGTAAGTGGTTTGGAAAAGGGAGAATTATTGGGGTGTTACAGTCTTTATACAAGTAAGCTTCTGAGAGATGCAAAAAAATCTAGAGCTTGAGAATTTATGTGCTCAATTCTTAGCAATTATAGCATGAGCTTCAGTATCTAAAGTCCGTTTTGAAATCGAAATTAAGAAATTTGCTTAGGACCCGAATCGTCTAAATAAGCATGAGAAATATTCAAAAGAAAGGGATTCATTTGGATATTGTACTAGCCAATTAGGGCTTGAAAACACATGTCTAATAGTTTATACACGTCGATGTAAGTAAAGGAATACAACCCCCTTTTATTAGCTAAACACAATAATTCATTATAATCCCCTATAATACACTTGGGACGTTGACAAGATTGAATAAGTTGACAAAAAGGATTCCAAAAACATAAAAAAAAAAAAAAAAAAAAAGAAAAATTAGATTTTTATCAATGACTAACAAGCTAAGTGAGATAGATGGTGATCCAAAGTTATAATTTCAACTTTAATATTAAGACTATTCCAACAGATCCACATTCCACCACAATGACCATTCGGATTAATAACATGAATTTCATCAAAACCCAAAGTTCTAGATAAATGTTGACTTGTATTCATCGACGCCGTAATTTCATTAACAAATAAAATGTCTGGATTTCGAATGAAAAGAAGTTCACTAATTGCTTGGGATTTCTTTGCCCCATAAATTTTCCAACTCTTAACTTTTGGACTAATCATATAGATTAATGAACTTGGAAATGATCTGAAAAAATATCAATAATGTATCTATGATACAGATCAAGGGCCTAAGAAAGTTGATCAAGAGAAGAAATACAAACATCCACAGTAGAGTGTATAATATTACAAAATAAAAGGATCCACTATAAACAAATGTGTAAGGAAACTGTGACAAAATAAGATTACATGCCACAAGAAGGCTATACAGAATAAAATTAATAGAAGCTAAGTATGTACATACCAAGCAAAAGAGTATTCAACAATGAATAAGACCAATAAAATAAAGACTAGATAAAATGCTATAAGAGAAAATATCATCCACGCAGGAAGACTGAATTGAGAAGGCCAGTAAAAAAGAGTGCAAAATACTTGAGTCCAACAACATGTTTAATGTATACAAGTCCTTGAGTATCTAATAAATATAGTATAAAATAAAAAAGTCTAACAGGATCTAAAAAACCAAGGTACCCAAACAGTGGGGCAATATAGCAAACAAAAATCAGAAGCAACATAGGTTGCACACATTAAGTTGTTGTAAGAATTACTAAAATATAAAACAACATGAAGGCAGCGGCGGATCCAGGGTTTTAGGATCCTGGGTCACCGTCACTGTTAACACGATATTATACACGATTTATATGTGATATTTGGTCATATTTTATTGTGTTTTCTTCATTCTCCTAATCTTTTAGAGTTATTATTCTTCCTATTTCGATATTGCTCTTCTCAGTTTGTTTGTCGTTGTTTTTGTAGGAATAGGGCTCGGTTTTTTTTTGAAATTTGCTTTGAAAGCGAGATATTCTTCATGTGGAGCATTTCTAGCATCCAAGAAGCATCATGGCAGCCTAGTCCGCAGCTTGATTGCGGTTTACCATGACCTACCGTAGCTTGCTTGTGGCGCACTTCACAAAGGAGCAAGAAACTCGAGGTCGGCTGCCCACTCTATAGTTGTACCGCGGCTCACGGCCTTGTGCCGCAGCCCGGTTGTGGCCTCTTCATTACCAACGAATTTAGCTCTATTTTTGGGATTTTAAGAATTCTAATCTTGTGTAAAGACTACTACTATTTTCCTAGCATATAAATAGGTTTTAGATAGTCTTTTATTGATCCCTTTTATATACATTATTTTAGAGTTTTTGGGTATTACGTTCTTCTATATTATTTTTTCAGGGTTTTGCCTTCAAGATTCAAGATTTTATAATTAATCCAAAGTATTGATTTCTTTTCTCAATTCTCTTATTTTATTATTGTTAATTATGTTTTCGTTATTGATTATCATTCCTGATTTCATTATTATGTGTGAGTAATTTCATAATCTAGGGTTAGATTAAACCCTAGTATGGATTGATGTGTTATTTGATTCCCAATTCCATTTAATTAATTTATAATTCCTCTTTGTTAGGGTTGGTTTTATTACCAGTGATTAACTAGAAATAGTATTATTGAATGTGATTAGGTTTGCAATGAAAGTTGATTCTTAATTGATTTTAGAATCCTAATTAAAGTAAGAGCCTTTATGCATGAAAATAGCTAATTGGTCTTGCTAGGACTTATAGGATGTCATTCTTAATGTCTTTAATGTGTATGATTCCATGAAAATAGGTATTATTGCATGTTAGGGAAGCTATTAGTTGATTGAAAGAAACTCTTAGTATTGTTACAGGGAGCATCCGTTCTTTGGAATATTTAATGGTTTAATTGAGGGATAGGGGATTGTTCCATTGCATTGATTCATATTAGTGGGGATACTTAATCTTATATGTCTTTAGTTCTTGAATTAATTACGTACTATTTTCGTTGATTTATAGTTAATATTTGTTTTAGTATAGATTTTTCTATATTGATTGATTACTTGCTTAGTTTTGATTTGAGTCAGTTTAAGTAGTTAGTCATTAGTCTCTTGGGATTCGACCCTTACTTGCTCAGCTACACAGTAGAGTTAGTTTGGTTATATTTGTTAGGTACGCGACACGCCTATCAGTCACCTATCGATCATCACTCATCTATCGCATACCTATCGATTCAGAAGGTGGATTTTGTGATAGAGGATGATTTTGTGGAGGAGGATGCATATTGGGACTAAAAAAATTTGTTATATCACACGTTTTTTTTTTTTTTTTGAAAATTAAGTCACAATTCCAATATAATTAATCAATCCAATATTGTCAAAAATAGATTGATTAAATCTTTTTGCAACTTGCCCATTCTACACTCAAGTTAAATTTTTTTATACAAAAATAAAATACCCAATTTAATTATACAAATATAATATTAAAAAATTCATACAACACAAATTAAAAGAAAAACCACTTAATGTAATTTCTTAACAGCACAAAACATAACAACATAACAATATTGAAGGATAATCAAATTAATTACATGATAATCAAATAATCATAAGTTCTTAACTAGGTAATGCTGCTATAGTAAATAATATGAAGAAAAAAATTCAAATAATCACATGAAAATCAATAAATCACATAACCATAGAAAAAAAAAATACTAAACTAAACTAAAAAAAGAAAATAAATTGTTTTATAAGTATGCTAAAGTGGAAGAGAGAGAATGACAGGAAGAAATAGGAGTGTGAAAATAAATTCATAACCATTTAAAAAATAATAATAATAATAATAAGATTGAAGGAATACAAAAAAAAAAAAAAAAAAAAAAAAAAAGCAAACAACCATGCTTGAACTATACAATACAAATTAAAAGAGAAACCACTTAATGTAACTTCTTAACAACACATAACATAACAATATAACAATATTGAAGGATAATCAAATTAATCACATGATAATCAAATAATTATAATTTTTTTTTTGACACAAAATAATCATAAGTTCTTAATGAGCTAATGCTGCTATATATAGTGAATTAAATGAAGAAAAATATTCAAATAATCACATGAAAATCAATAAATCACATAACCATAGAGAGAAAAAAGAAACTAAACTAAAAAAGAAAATAAATTGATTTATAAGTCTACAAACAACCATGCTTGAACTTAAGACCTGCGCGATTGATTTTTTGGCTTTGTCACAATCACTCTAACCACTACGCTATAAGTTTGCATGTTAAATTATATCTTGAAATAATCTTTATATCTTATTTTCTTATGGGAGCCTCTTTTTTAAAAAGAATTAAGATTTTTTTTTTAATTTTTTTTTCTCTAGGTCACGTGACCCTGCATGACCAATGCTGGGTCCGTCACTACATGAAGGACAATAAAAATGCAATTCCATGAGAATAGTAGTTTAGAGTCTTAGTAGAAATTAATTTGACCATATCGACAAAAGTCAAAGGTAATACACGAGATACATGAAATTGGATTACTAGTATAAAATGGTCGACAAGAGTTACGAAAGCATAGAGAAACTTAAGAAATGACAGAGAGTATTATGTTCAGCTTAATTTCAGTTCTGTTCAGTTCAATTCGGTTCAACTTTAATCAATTTTGTTCAGTTCAGTTCCTACTTTCTTTCATAAACAATTCATTTCAGCTCCATTCATTTTAGTTCAATACAATTCAGCCCTAATAAGTTCAATTTAGTTGTTTTTTCAGTAAATAGGAACATAGAAACAGACCTAAGATATAACAAAATAAGCAATACATCCAACAATCACCACAACACACGGTGATAAGAAATGACATGAGAATAGGCAAATAAAAGAACATTTTACCAACATATTATCGAAATTAAATAGCTTAAGAAATGACACGTAATTGAAAAAAACAAAGACATATACTCATAATTTTCTTCAAATTAACTGGTATAATATCGAGTCTTATACAAGTAATATACTAGGAGTACAAAGTAAAAATTTGGTAAAAAATGGATAAATTTGAATAAAATACCTGCCGTAGATATAACATACAAGTAAAGTTTAGCCCAATAAAAAATGAAAAAGGATAAAAAAAAATAAAAAAAAAAAAATAAGTTGTAAAAGTAGAAGAATTACTACACTACAGTACTACTATATATATACAAGAAAACAATTTGGCGCCATTGTTAACTCTTTTAAACATTACTCTTCTTTCTCTTTCTTCAACATCTAACGAATTCACAGGTTCAATTTTCTCTCTCTTAATTCATCATATTTCAATTTTCTCTCTCTTAATTCATCATATTCAATTTTCTTGATGATTCTTGCTTCATTCATCTCAATTAAATCAACATTTTTCATCAAATTTTGCAGAAATTGAAAGAATCGAACTACTTTCTCGCGCTCTAATATCAATCGAGGTACTCTTTTCACTTTCTAATTCAGTTGCATTTGAAGTTTAATTTCTTTGATTTCATGTTGAATTGCAATTCATCTCAATTAAATCAACTTTTCTCATCAGATTTTGCAGAAATTGAAAGAATCGAACTACTTTCTCGCGCTCTAATATCAATCGAGGTACTCTTTTCACTTTCCAATTCAATTGCATTTGAAGTTTAATTTCTTTGATTTCATGTTGAATTGTTGCAATTCATATCAATTAAATCAACTTTTCTCATCATATTTTGCAGGAATTGAAAGAATCGAACTACTTTCTTGCGCTCTAATATTTTGCGAGGTATCTTTCACTTTCTCATTCAACTGCATTTGATGTTTAATTTGTTATTCAATTTCAACCAAAATTTCCTAAATTAAAATTTGCTGAAATTTCTACTGTTCCTGTTCATTATTTCCTCTTCATTATGAAGATATGTTATTGTTTTCTCTAAGTATTAGTTCCAACAGTTTCCACATTAATCAAGAATTTCTTCTTTTAAGTTCAAAATCCGAAAAAATGCAAGGAATATGATTTCCATATATATATAAAGATATACTCATTCTTTTTTCCTGTTTGAAATTGTCTAGTGATGGCGATTGTTGATGCAATGACTAAAAAAGTTGTACAAGAAATGAAGATTGGACCTAGTGGATTCGTATCACGATTAAAGACTGATTTCGAAGAAGTGGAGCTGCTTGGGTTCGGTGGGTATGGATGTGTGATTTTGGTCCGAAATAAGATTGATGGACAATCTTATGCGGTGAAAAAAGTCAAGCTCAGTGTCCAATCGGAAATATCATATGATGAGGCCGTCAGGTATTGTGAATCTTATTCTTGTTAAATGGCATTGAGAATAACTATTTGTTAGAATATTTCCTCAAACAATATACTGTATTATAACATATAAGGGAATTTATTTGATGGCATTGGGAATTAGTATTTGTTAGAATATATTTGGCTATCCTTGAACATATGATAACTGTAGAATTTTTTGCTAAATATATTCAAACAAGGATAGATACCATATAAGATTTAGAGAAAAAAAGGTATATTTTTGATATCTTGAATGAATATTATTGATCGACACATTGATGTATATATATAGTACAAGTAAGGAAACACCTCCTGAGAATAGAATAGCCAAATATAGATTGTCAAAAAAAAAAGACATGATGTATCTATAGTACAAGTAAGGAAACCTAATGAGAATCTACTTTACAGGAGAATCTCAAATTTATCTTCAGTTCATATGATAGATAGTCTATACCTTGGTATTATGCAGGGAAGCTCGAACTATGGCCAGATTAAACCATCCAAACGTTGTTAGGTATTATGCAGCTTGGTTGGAAAAGGACATAATTGGATTTGGGAATGATGAAGAGGGTAATTTTGTAGAGGCTGATGGCGAAGAAGCCGGCTCCATGTTATGTATCCTTCAAGGGTTATGTTATGGGTATGGAAACCATTTACATGCTATAATTCTACAAATTAATATTATTGATTAGGTTTGTATTGAATTACTGACCTTTTTCTTTCTTGAATTTGGCGAAGGTCGCTGAATGATATTATCAAAGAATTGACAGCAGAAAAGGCTCACTCACTGTTTAGGCAAATGTTAGAGGCTGTTAAATACATACACCGTGAGGGAATAGCTCATGGTGATTTAAGCCCATCAAATATTTTCTTGAATTCAACCAAAGAGATTGTGAAGATAGGTGATTTTGGGATTGCACAGCTATCAAACGAATTACATCACTGTCCAACAACAATCTACCGTGCTCCGGAGTTGAGTGATCCTTGCAAATTTACTGTCAGCAGTGACATCTATAGTTTAGGCATTATTGCTCTCGAGATGTATGCTAGGTTTGGAAGTGATATGGAGAAATACAATGATTTGCAAGAATTCAAAAGGCAGAGAACCTGGCCAAAGACAATCACCGATTCTACTAAGGTTCTCATCAACTTCATGACAAAAGATAACCCAGTGGAGAGGCCTACAGCAGATACCATTCTCGGAGAGCTTGATTCCATTTTACTTGCTGTTAAGTGAAAATAATGGGTTGTGCACGAATTATGATTTACTTCTCAGTTTCTGAAGTGTTTCCAATTACAATGGCTTAGCAAATGCTGTGATCCTTCAAACGGCAGCCATGACAGCAGAGGTCAAACTTAGATCCAATACCAGATTTTGCTAATTGCTATATACACATATAATATGCAGTTTATGGGGAGTTTTCCTGTTTCAATTTCATTCCTTGGTTAACATAGTTAGGAAAGTGGAGCTGCTTAGTGGCACATTGAGACATGTATTGTCATGGATGTGATTCTGTAGGTATTATATCATTTCATGTTTGTCAGCTTGCAAGAGCAATACTTCAAAAGATACTAGTACATAGATAAGGGAAGAAAATTTTGCTTCAAGACAAGAGGCTGCATCGCTGCATCATGGTATTATCAGTTAGTGTACATCGTAACTGAATGGTTGTCTACTTTGGCTACTTATCTTTCTGTATATGTTGTGATGTTATGTAACCTTTTGTCCTGGTCTTTGGTCCTTACGATCATAGTAGCATTATTTCTCTTCTAAGTGAATATGACAGTAAATAATTTTTGACCTGTACAATCTGAATTAATGGATTGTCAGAAGTTCTACAGTACTGAATAATCTTCTTCTGAATGGCTCATCTTAGAATTTATATGGAAATTTTCTTAAACTTGATATGGGTTTCCTCTTATATGATTTTGGCATCTATACATGAGAATTAATATATCTATGAGAAGTCATATTAGACTTGAGTACTTCATGGCTTAAGTAACAAGATGGTTAACCTTGCAAAGGCTTATTTCTTTCTTTTCTTTTTGTTGTAAAAAACTTTCAAATCAGAACCCATACAAATCATGAGAATTCTCATTGTGCAAAAGATTATCTGTTAACAAAATTGAATTTTGCTGTTCGACTAGCTTTTTTGTCTGATGTAGTTACTAATCTCTAATCAATCAGATTAGGGCCTTGTTCAGCTCTACGCAAATATGATGGTACTGCACAGGTGTACGTATGTACAACATAAAATGAATTGATTATGTACCAATCTAGAAACCGTATGATAAACTTGACAAGCAAAAACATGATTATTATGAAACATATCTATTATTCAAGATATATGGAAATACAAAGATTATGAAATCGATTTTTTAGATAAATTATAAGTACTCGTATAATAAATCTTATTGCCATTTTGCTAGCTAGGTTTGCTCGTACTATAGCGACTTGCTTGCTTTCTTGTTGACCTTCATGTCACGACATTGTAATGTTTTAAGAACCTGAAAGGGGTTCTTTCAAGCTCCAACGTCGCTGTTAGCCATGTGCAGACTTCTGCAGTTTATTAGTGTAAGGACCTAAGCTTGTATAAGCACTTTTTCGCCAGGTTTCATTCGATTTGTTGTGGATTGGATGATGGAAAAACCAGCAAGCTACGGCTGAAAAGCCACTCTGTTAGACTTGAGACCATATGTAGTCACATATATACTATCTTTACCAAGTGTTTTGAAGCTTGAGTTCTTAGCACAGGGTAATGTACCCATTATAGCCCCTGAAAGTAAGATTCTGGAATCCAAGTGAGGTAAGGTTTTTTACAGTTTGCTCTCCATGACCATTCGCAACAACTTCATCAGCCGATTGCTAAATGAAAATTAAAAGAAAATTAAGAGAGATTATGATTCCTCAGTAAACCAAGGGAAAAGAAAATAAACAGTTGAATTGAAGAAAGTAAGCAGTGTTGTTTGCACTTGATGAGCCATTCGCAGTGTAGCTGATGCAAAACTTATAAACTGAGGAGAATAAAATGGAACAGAATGCTTTATTCAAAGTGTTAGAAATAAAAGCAGGAGAAAGAGATGTCATGAAGAAAAGGAAACAATGAGAAAGGAATGGATATATGAGCGCCTATAAAAATAAGCATACAGCAAAATTGCAGTAGTTAATAGCAGCCAAGTAAAACAACCTTCTTTTCAACATTATTGTTACAATAACAATCAAGTACTTCCTCCGATCCAAATTTATTGCAACAAAATGATTATTGACACTAAAAGAGCATGGTTTCATGAAACAAAGTAATTATTGGTTTTTATTACCTCCATACCTTACATTGAAAAGAAATAAATATAACTATCTTACATCCCCTAGAACCTTAATCATTGTTGCCAAAAATATACCATATTATTATATAAAGATAGATGAATACAAGCTGCAATTTTACAATCTGACAATATTCGAACATATGTACCCTACAGTAACATATTATACAATCTAGTACCATAATCCTTATCCTCAATCTCGATTCAGATCAATCCTATGCCTGCTGGAACAAAACTATGTTCTAAATGTGCTAATATGTTCAAACGATGTCAGTTTACTTCAGAGGTACAACACTAACTTGGCTGCTCGAAGATAAGTTGAACAATTTGCCGAGATTAACACCCTTGAATATTTAGTAGTCAGCATTCTTTTTCTTGGGGGAAATGTCAACGATTGACTTCTTAAGCAGCTTACTCTCCTCCCTGAGATCATCCATGCAGAGCCCTCAGAACTGTACGCCGCCTCAGCAAAGCTATCAAAAGATTTAACTGAGTTAGTAGCAGAGTCAAGCACGTATTCGTATTCCCCTTTGGTAGAGAGTGAACTTTTCAAGGGGGACCTAGCACGAGCACCACGATCACTCTTAAGTAGATCTATCGTTAAGCTAGTGATCTGTGAGCTCGATAAAAGTCCTCCACCATGCTGATAAACTCCGGCCTTTTCTTGTAATCTCTGCACGCTGTGAAAAGGAATCTGAATCTTTCTCTATTTGTTTCAGCATTGAATCTGTCTTCTCATTGAGCTCTGTCATATTACAGCAATACGAATAAGAACAGCAAATTAATTCATAGTATATATTCTACAATATGCCATATCACTAAATACAAAGTAACAAGACTATAACAACATCAAATGTAGCACAAGGATCTGATAACGTCGATAAACTGCTTTGACTTGCAACTGTTGATTAAAAGAGTAATTAACATGCTAATAATCAAACACGTTAAAAAAAACAACCTTTACAGCATACATTTTCACGTGAGACTCCATGTCCAAACTCACTCCATTTACATTTCTAGTCATGACACACACAAGACGTCGTTCTATCTTGTGTGATATAAACTTGTATGAGTAATTAACATGCTAATAATCAAACGCGTTGATAAAAAAAGACAAACCTTTACATCAAACATTTCATGTGCGACTCCATGTACTAACTCACTCCAATTACATTTCTAGTTATGACACACATATTACAAATTCACTATCCTTTTCAAATAGTACCAAGTGATCACCTTGGACCCCCATTTAAATCTCACTATCATTTGTGAGTAAAGATGACAAATAACTCATTCGGATCAAATTCACTTCAGGTCATATTCATGTACTCGTAACAATTACTACTTTGACTTATTTGTGAGACAATCCTCATCCAACCAAGAATTTATTTTAGAGTCGGCGAAGTATATATTTTAAAATATGTAAGGAAAAACTCCTATTCCTAAACAATGAACAAGTTTGCACAATTGCTAGTGAATAGTGAAAACTGAAAACAATAAAAGTGGAAAAAAGATGACAAGAAAAAGAAAGAGTGGAAATACATAATGCACAATCCTTGGTTTAAAAGTTTGAAGCAGACATGACAATACATCATTTTTTCTTTTTTTACAAAATAACAATTTTAAACAACCATACTCCTATTCAAATTCACAATATAAAGTCAACACTCCACTAGTCACAATTTTTAAATTCACAACTTTTGTACATAATAAAGCCTCCAACGGTGGAATTCAACGTTCAATTATACTAAAGTAATATTCTGTACATAACTTGTTTGTAACACAACATTTGTGTGCTATGATTTATGTGGATTGTGGAATGTTAATCTACAGAAACACTACTTATTTTTTATTAAGGGATTTAGGTAACCTTATTGAAATAGAATGTGAAGAAAGATTAGTAAGAGTAGGTGTAATCTCATGTTGACACCCAACCACCACCAACACCCCACCCTCCCTCCCTTATATAATACGGAGTAGTGAATAAAGAGTCCGAGTAACATAGATACGGAGTAGTGAATAAAGAGCAATCTAATATGAAAAACTACAGCGATGGCTTACAAATTTACAATGCATACAACTAACTCATTGAAAAAGAACACATAAACACGGGATTTTTTTTTAAAATATAATTAATAAATGAAATCTTGTAGCAGCAAGTATGGTTAAAGTCTTTCATTCTTATTCAAGACACAATCTCCTCAACCACCTCAAGATCAAGTAACATTCAGGTACTGAAATAAGAATCTAAGCTTTGCCACCATTCCACTAAAACCAAGCTAGGCCTCTGACACTATCATAGCTAAAATTGAGCATAGATAGTGTCTGCAAGAGACTTAAGCTCGTTGAAATTGAGCATAGATGGTGCCTCCAAGTTGGTGATTGAAACCGAGATGGTACTTTTGCCTGCACCCTCACTATGAACAGCAGAAGCCGCTCCTTATTCCAAACTGAACTGTGTCACTCTCTCAAGTTTGAAGGTAGTCATGAACTTGCTATGCCCACTGTAGGTACTGGATGTATTCAAAACAAATTAGAGGTTTTCACCCCAGTTACCCCACGTCCCCACTATTATTCTTCTCTTGAATACCAACCATGAAGAGGTCAAGGTCAATCAAAATACTATCAAGTAATAAAGAGCTCATGAGCTTCCAAATAATATTCATCAAAACTGAGATAGAAGACTTCTACAAGAAGAAACACATTTCATGTCAAACATTATTGTTGAATCTAAAGCAATGCCAAAACACTAGTAAATCGCCTGTGGCAGACAAACTGAAACAAACCATAAGCTTCATCTCATTTTTATTCTTTTTTTGCTTCAATAAATGATCACTGATCTGTGTAACACCAACGGTCATGTATGTCTTCATAGTTCTGTCCATCATAATCAAGAAGATAACATTAGCAAAACAGACATAAGCACACAACAAAACAAAAGTTCACTTGGTTTAGTAACAGTAAATGAAAATAAAATGCAGTAGAAGGTTTTATATATATTATATGAGAGGAAAATAAACATACGTAGTATTAGTTTGACTCTAAGACTAACGAATAGAGTATCAAACGAGTATGTGCAGTCCAAGCAAGAGACATGGCGGCTCAATTTCCGGGTCAGGGAGTTCAGAGGTGGACCAAAATTTTGTGGGTGAGAAGGCAAATGTCAAGTCAAGTTGTAAACTGGATTTTAGTTTAGGAAAGACAAACACACAGTTCACCCAGTTTCAGGCCTTTCAGTTCTACAAATAGCAAAAATAATGGCAAGAGTTTGATTTACATCTGATAACAGCGCCTCAGAAATAATATCAAACAATCAAGAACACAACAAGCAATTACATTTAATGATTTTCTGTATGTCTTACAAATCATGGAATGCTCAAATTCATTCACAATGCACGTAAACAAGGATGCTCAATGTTTGTTACATATGAGTCAACTGTATGACCACTAAAAAGTCTCAAGAAGAGTAATGTGCAGACGAAGCAACTTTACACAAGACAGTTAAAGACCCTCTTCAGCTGTGTGACAATGTTCTTCACATTTGACACAACAACATGAGTTCATTTCACTCCTAAAAATGACAATATCGGTTCTATTACATCCTCTAAGATAATTATTGAGGAAAAGAAACCAGAATGACAGCATATGCAAGCATACAAAATATAATATTGCACCACCGACATGCCTGATGTCACACAATTTGTGATGCACTCCCATACCATACAAAATAAAGAAGAAACACAAGGCCAACACCATCTGTATGCTTTCAAAAAACTAACAGTCCTACATGTAAAATAATGAGCATAAACACTCTGATACAACTTTGTTTTCTGGACATTACAGACAAAAATTAGACAGATGCATCCTACTAGCGACAACATTCAACCCATAACGTGTCACAGCTACATGAAATATATTATGTGTCAGAGGAAATAAGACCTTTAATAAGATAAAATCTACACCATGAAGAATATGGACAGTGATGAAGCAGCAACCCAAAACAGAAAAGAATCAATCATGAATCAGAATATAACAAAAAAAAGGCATGTACGATAAGCCTAGAATTAATTAATTAAACTCACTGCAGATTTGTAGAAAATTGGGAGATAAGCCATAACAAATCAAATGAAGTAGTGAATACTTACATCGATAACGTTGGTAATACCTCTGGACCAGTCCTTCAACGTGACAAATACATTTTTGTGCAAAAAGAGAGGGAAAAAGTCCCCACAATGCGATTCAAAAAAGTTTAAATACCGCACTGCTTCAAAGAGATCACTTCCGATATGATACATAAAGATTGAACTTGCAGAACCCATAAATAAGATGTCAGAGGTAGGATGAAAAGAACAACATCGCAACCAGACATAACGCGAAGACCAGTCATTTTTTCGCGCATACTTCCAAAGGTATTGCAAGAAAATCTTATGCTTCAAACTCCATTCACTGGAGTCATTGGGATTGTCAAGCAACCACACACACACATACCCATCTTCATTCCTGACATAACAGAGAGATCCATTTGACACCCCAATACATCCTGGCGGAGGTTGATCTTTTTCATCTGTTGGATGTGCAGGAGGACTTTTCTGACTTGGGCAATTAATTACACAGGCTTTCATACATTTGAGGTCAAAGGATATTATCACACCATACATGGATAATCTATGCACTACACCTCTCAAGTAAATAGAGTGCCTGAGCAACTTAAAACACTCAGCAAAAGGAGGCAGCTCTATTTTCACCTCGTACGACTTCCACTCTCCAGTTTGGGAATCAAATAAATGGATACACTGTGGCTGGTTGCTAAGAGATGAAATGACCACTCTGTAGTGAATGGACTCGGAAGGGTCAAAAGCTAATGATGCGTAGAGGGACGACAACTGGATTGAAGGAGGAGGTGGAGGGACAGACACGCATTGTCCTATTACAGGATTACACACGTAAAACAGGGGTTTAGGACGTTGAACAAACAAAACTAAGCCATTACAACAGTCCAAGAAATTGGCACCACGATGATCAAATGGCAATAAACTTGAAAGTGACATTCCATATGAATCAGCTTTTTCATCTGAATAGCTTCTGGCGCTGGAAAAAGGCATGAAGTGTGGTTCCAGAGGAGCGCTGTCAACATAATGAATAGAATCACTATAGGCCACCAGGTGCTGCAAATATTTTTTTTTGTCTTGAGGACAGGTTGTTGTTACATAAGGCAAGCCACGATCTCGAATAGCACGATAATAAACTCCAGAAACAGGAGGATCCTTAGCTGACAACATGGGAATACAAACTTGGGAGACTACTGTCAGCCATTCTTTTGACACACACTTGCACTTCAGAAGATCTTTCACATGGAGTCTGCAGAAAATGTTAACCAACAAATCCTCGCATAAAAGCCCAAAGTTCTTTTCTTGATTAACCATCCTCTAAGACACCAACAACTAACTTTATACTCTTCAATCCCTTGAGATTTTAAACTTACTTTTTTTCAAAAAGCACCTGTAGGTTAAGGAGTACACGTTACTACTTACTAGGACACATTACAAACTGAAAAACGTATGCATATTGTATAGAATTAACCGAAACAGTGAAGCTTAAGCACGGTGTCATTTATAAACATATCTAAAAGATTGACATATATGACTGTTTGCAACGGATAATGAGATAGGAAAGTTATACAATAAGCATGTCTTTACTAAATACGAGTAAGTAATTAGGACACATAATACTTCCTCTGTTCCAAATTTTGTGAGCAAACTCCGGTTAGGGTGGCAAAAATTGTTTCTTTACTTATTAGACTGCCATCTCTCTCCCCTCACCTCATCACATGCCTGACTTCCTCTCTATCCTATTCACACTCATTCACTAACAACTACAATTAGCCTAGAGTTCAGTGACAACTTGAAACGAAAGAATCAATTAATAGACTAATCTAAAGGAATAACAAAATGATCCTCAATACTCGGAAAGAGTTGGCATGCATTATAGTCATGACATGAAAGTTAACATGCATAAGCAATCATTGGTCATAAACATGAAAGTTGACAGAGATATATTGATACAAACCATACAATATGTATAGTACTCTAAATAGCATGTCAAAAATATCAAAGAAAGATCCATAAAGATCAAATCTTTTGGCTTGGAAAACAATTATACAGTAGTTTTTCGATCAAAGCTACAAAATTTTTTACCCAAACTCCCAAAGCTGAATTCTTTACCAATAAATTGAACTCATCACTTCTTTCCAAAATAGTGTGTTTGAGCCAAAGATGTGAGCTTTGGGAGAAATCAAATTCACCCAGCAATTGAAATCAATAAGAAACAACACTAACACTAATAAAATTTTAATTAACAACACTAACCAAATTATAGAGATCAATGCTTCTGCAGGGCAAGAGGGGAAAAGAGATCTAATTTCATACTCAATTATCTCGAAAAATACATAATTTTAGGGGTATTTGATTCAATAATCATATTAGGCTCATAATTTTCTATTCTTTTGGTTATGATCGTTTCGTAATCTAAGACTTTAGAACCAATAGTTGAGATTTAAGAACCCCAAACTTAAAGCACTGATAATTAAATTAAATTAAATTAGATCAAAAATAAACCCTAGATTGTGAAATTGATATGATGATAACAACAATAAACAACTTACCTTAGAAGCTGCTTCAATGGGGGGTACAAGAATTAGATTCAACGGAGAACTTCAATGGAGAACGTTGAGTGCGCGGTTCAATAAATAACTGAAAGCTAAAACTGACTTAGACTCTGAGAGAGGTAGGGTTGTATGCCTTTTAAAAGCAATGAACCGCCACAATTATAATACGGGTTAGATCCGTCTAATAAATAAATGGGCGGGTCTTTGTATTATTGTCTAATTATAGGAGAGGGTGGATTTTAAGTAAACCTGTTTAAAAAGTATTGGGTTATTTGGTTCGTAGAATATAAGTATGATTTGTTTGTATTTTTTTTTAAACCATTTTTTTGTATTTTAGAAGTTGGTTAACCTCCACTTATTTTTTTTTCATTTATTTTTTTTATTTAAGTCTTCCATTTATTTTTTTTCATTTAAGTATTTCTTAACCTCCAACAATTTATTAAGTGAATTCCTTCAAAAGCAATTGTGCCTTTTGTTCGCTTCTCCAATTACTTTTTATAACTAGAGTGTATCCGTGTATCCGTACAAAATGCACAGGATATATATGGTCGATTTTGGACTGGTCGGCTCTGTTCAACCCTGCTTAGCTCTGTTCTACTGAGTATTAATAATTTGCTGGCACTTGTTCTGCTCTGCTGAAATATGATATTCTCTTCTTTGCTTAGAAGCTTAAAAAACAAGGTCTTACTCTTTTATGTCGGTGGCCACACAGTGTTATAGGGGTTATTCGATTAGTGTGATATGGGTTAGTGTCTTGCTCTAGGAGTTACATACTTTGTTCTGTTGCAAGTAGTTATTCGGTGAGGCCAGTTGCGCAAAAACGTGTTGTACATTTTTTTTTTTTGATGAATAGAGAAGTGAAAATTGTTTGGAGGGTAGTTCCTAAAAAAAGGCATATAGTTGATTCCCGTCTCTTAGAAAGAGCCGCTAAACGATCGGACCAGACAGGTGCCGGTAGCTTGACCGCCTTACCCGTCATTGAAACACAAGCTGGAGACGTATCGGCCTATATTCCCACCTTGCTTAGTGCTTGCATTAAGGTGTGAAACTTACAAAATGATCTTTCGTAAATTTAGCAACTGAGAGCAAATTTGGCTTGGCATTGAACACGTCGTCCATCAAAGTCGGATGACGGGGTAGGGGAAATCTAAAAGTCAAAATAGGAAACCCTTCCTGGTAGCTGATACGGAGACAATTTCATTAGATAAAGAGAAAGGTGCAAGAGTCTTGGGGATTTAGAGTACTATAGTGAATTGTTGATAAAGGAACTATATACTCATGCTAATGCAAAACATATATTATACTACGTACCAAAAAATAATACGCGTAAAACAAAGTGAAATGTTAATGAATGATTTCCCACAAAAATGTAAAAATGAAAACAAATTCCCTTTATACGTCGTTTTGAAAATAAATTCCCCAAATACCATCCATGTAACAAAAGCTAGTCGTATTAGCGGTTTTTAAAAGAGACCACCTTTTATTAGTAATTGGTCTCTTTCCCTCTTTAAATGCATTGAACACTATATATGTGCAAAAAGAGACCTCATTTTGAAATAACAGGTACAAACCCGCTTTACTTGGGTGTGTGTGCCCTTTTCATAATACTAAGAACAAAGAGACCTGCTTTTTGTAACAACAGGTCTCTTTGTATTTTTTTTTTAAAAAAAAATAAAAAACCGCTAATGTCATTAGCGGTTTTATTTATAAAACCGCCAACGGTATTAGTGGTTCTAAGCTGAACTAAGCACTGCTCCTACTTGGACGGTACCTTGGAAATTTATTTTTAAACTAATGTATCATGGGAAATAATTTTTAATCCAACTATATTGAGGGAAATCACTCAATGTTAGTACGTAGTGTTTTTTTTTAAAAAAAAAAAAGTGAAATGTTGGGGATTTTGAGTGCTATAGTAAATTGTTGATAAATGAACTGTGTACTCATGCTAACACACGGAATATACGTATGTCGTATGTATATGTAAAAGGAATTATGTGGAAGTAGTTATAATGTTATATGTTTTTTTTAAAAAAAATAAATAAATAAAAAAAGAGAAGTGCAACTGTGGAAGTGATTAGTGATATGGTTAAAGTAGTGGGAGTCGAAGAGGAAGTTATCCAAAAAAAAAAATAGAATGCATAGAATTGCTCCATTCAAGAATTAGAGTGTTGTGGTGAGAAGTTGTAAAAACGACTCTGCAATTATATATTAGATATCGATCTCATCACATGATTGCCTTAGTTTCCTTTCCCTTTCCACTTAGTTAAATAGTAAATTGATTAAATTAAAAAAAAAAAAAATCATTTGAATACCTTTAATCTATAAGATTTCAGGATACATAGGTAACTTTCTAATACCAAACCCACAAAATGATTTTAAATACTTAATTCAAAAAATAATTTTAGAATTGGATTTTAGAATATGCCAAATTGATTTTCTTGTTTTTGATGTACAACACTTAAAATGTGGAGGTTGAGAAAGAATAAATTAAAGGGAAAAAAATTATAATGGAAGAGAAACAAATTCAATCATCACATGAGATTAAAAAAAATTTAAAAAAAAATTTAAAAAAAAAGTAATGAAGAAACAAACTATAGAAAATAATGGCAAACTTTTTGAAATAATAATTTACTGGTTACTTAATTAGGTGAGATAAAAAATTAATTAGAATAGAATTAAACAAAATATATTTAAACAAAGAAGCATTAAAAATATTTAAGATTTCACTATAAAAAAAAATCTAAATTTTGCCAATGTCATTTATGTTGTTATGTGCACCCAAGTGCATAGTTTGTGATGTTGAGTGCACCCTCAAAAGGTTGTGCTGCTACACGAACATTTGTCATAGTTGGTGTTGTTGCGGCCAATTTTTCCTTTTTTTTTAACGGGAGGTATGAATTATAGGTTTTGAATGAATTTTTTATTTATTTATTTATTTTTATTTTTTTTTTGAGGAAAGGTTTAGAATGATTAAAACTCATATCATATGTTTGGTTGTCAAAAGTATGAATTTTAAACTCATACCTCAAACTTATAAGGTATGGGATTTGGAATTCTTGGAGGGAGGTGGGTTTGACTCATTTCATTCCCTTAGGTATCAAATACGGTTTCAGGAGATCTTGGAATCAATTCTCACTCCCGCTCTTGTGGGCTCTCTAAACACCAAAAAAAAAAAAAAGATATCAAATATTGTTATACGGGGGTGTTTGGTTCATTATATTGGAATGAAACCTCATAACTAGAGAGGTATGGATTCTAAAACCCATACTACCCTAAAGTTGTTTGGTTTAATGTTGTAATAGATTGTATTCTTTATTAATAGAATGGATTGTGAATCTTAGGGGGAGGTGGGTATGGGATTCCATGGGCATGGGGTAGAGTTGGTATCTCTTGGGTGTGAGATTCCATTACTAAAAAACTCAACCAAACAAAAAAATAGACAGAATGGATTCTAACTCCATTTCAATCTATTCTAAATGATCCAACCAAACGACCCCATTTTAAGGAGATGAAATTTCATTCCAGGATTGGAGTTCACAAAGTCTTATATGTGGCTGGCCACATCGTTTAACCAACCACTATAGGGGTACTTCGCTAGTGTAATGGGGGTTAATTGGTCAGTGTTAAAGGGGTTACTTCGTCATTGTTATTGAGTTACTCAGTCAGTGTTATAAAGGTTACTTAATCACTATTAAGGGTAATTTAATCAATGTTATAGGGTCGGGGTTACTTTAAGTGGCCACACGATGTGGCCGGTCGCACACAAGATGGGCCGTTGAACCAAATACATGATGTTTCGGGAAAAAAATGGAATAACCGGGCCGGGCCTCGAAGGGGTGCTTGAGGACCTCGGATTTTGGGCCTTGAATGGGCCTGCAAAATGAACCCCGAGGCGGAGCCTCCGACAAACAAGTTAGATGCCAAACAATGCATATTTTGAGAGGAGTTTTAAGGGAGAGAGAGTAGAGAAGATTGATCATCTTAGTGTAAGAATGACCTCCCCTTACCATTGCCCTCCTACCCCCCCAGGGGGTGTTTATAGTAGTACATGGTGGGTATTGGTGAATCCTAGTAGTACACATATGAGTCATTATGGGTCATATTAGTGCATTTGGCTTAATTGGAGCCTTTTAGGCCTTTTTATGCCCTTTGGGCTTATATGGGTAGAATTACCCTTGACTAAAATGGATATGACCATTTTAGTACCCAAACACATCGTACTCCCTCTGTTTTTAAATAGTTGCTCCATTTTTCATTTGCGGCCGTTTTTAAATACTTGCTCCATTTCCTTATTTAAAAAGCTTTTACAATATTTAATTCAATTCTCTCAACTAAAAGACCCAACATAAATAATATTTTATTAATTTCATATGCTCTCTCCTCCAATTCTCTCAACTATTTTTATATTTTACAATTTTATATTCTTCAATACTACTACTACTACCACCTACTACTACTACTACTACTTTATCGCATTATTAATATAATCATTAAATATTATTATTTAATATTAATTATTATAACAATTATTATTATTAAATTTTGTTTAATTATTATTTTTATTATTAAAAATTTATAATTATATTATCTTTAAATATTAGTTATTATCTTTAAATATAAATTTTTATTATAAAAAATCGATTATTAATAATTATTATTACTAGTATTATTGTTAATTATTATTAATAATATTATAATTATTAAATATTAATTATTTATTATTATTATTGTTAAATATTAATTTTAATAATATTATTGTATAAAATATTAATTTTTAATAATAATATTATTATTAAATATTTATTATTTATTATTATTATTATTAAATATTAGTTTTTAATATTATTATTAAATATTTATTATTTATTGTTATTATTAAATATTAATTATTATTACTATTATAAGACAAAAGCTAAGAAGTGCCCTTGGGGCGTTAAATAAGAGAATTAAAAGTGGAAATATTAGAGTAAAACTAACATTAATTACACCGAATGACGCGTGATTTTGTTATAAATTCGTAACTTAATACTATTTCAACCAATATAATTATTCCTTATATTATGCCCCGGGGTGCTCGTTAGCAAGATCCTTATTATAATAATTCAATATTAATTATTATTATTATTATTAAATATTAAAGATTTATTATTATTATTATTAAATATTAATTATTATAATAATTCAATATTTAGTATTATTTTTAAGCATAGTAGAGCAGGGCAGGGCAGATTGAAGCACAGCAGAGCATAGCAGATTTCAGCAGAGCAGAGCAGAGCCGAGCCGAGCAGAGCAGAGCAGATTTCATTATTATTATTATTATTATTGTTGTTGTTGTTGTTATTGTTGTTGTTGTTATTATTATTATTACTATTATTAGGAAAATTTGTCAAAAAAATCTTTTAAATGCCTCATTTTGCAAGAAAAAACCTTTTAAAGCATTCTTTGTTAAAAAAAACCACCACGATCATTTTTTTTGTTGAATGAAACCTGATCCTTCTTTTCCGGCATTGACTAACACTTTCAGGCGTTGACTCATCACTTCTTTTACTTCTTGCTGCCACTTGTTTTGATAATTGCACTCCCCCTATTACTTGTTCCCTTTGTTTTCCCTCCAATGTATTTCCTCTCTATTCTCTCTCCCCTTTCCTCCACGAATGCTCTACAACACTATCACATCAAATTGGGTTTTTCTATCCCTCTCTCAACTCACCATAAAATACTTCAACAATAACATGAGGTAAGTGTTAAGTAATTAGTTCTATACTCGAAATTCGCCAAAAAAATTGGGGTTTTATGTAGACAAGCAAACGAACTCATTTGACGAAGGAAGACGACGCCTGGATGCAAAATAACATTTCCCCAATTACGTAGTGAAGTACAAACCCAACTATGTTCTTCATTTGCTCAATCTGTGTATAA